CCCCTCTAAAAATAAATAAATAAAATCTTTTAAAAAAGAAAATAAAAATAAGGGATACTTGGTTGAGGATAATTTTAATGGACTCACTGAAGAGAGAAAAATATCTCCCTCTACCTACTAAAATTATAAAATATAAATTTACTTTAGCCCAATACTAGCCATACATTTGTGTACATTAAAATAAAGAGCATTTTACCTAATAAAAGTATACTAAATTTAGCTTTCCTAAGAAAAGTCCAAGCACAAGATCATAGGTATGTTGCTGCTAGCCATTCGAACTAAAAGAGTAATTAACTAAAACAGCACGTAATATTATTAAATTAGCTTTGGGGTATAATTTATGTTCCAAAAAATGTACTCCATTTTAAGTGTATGCTTCAGTGACTTTTGACAAAGGCATACACCAATGTAACCACCACCAGAACCAAGATACAGAACATTTCTATCAGCCCAAAAGCTGTCCTGGTGTCCCCTCCCAGTCACCCATCCACTCTCTGCGCCTAGTATAAGCTAATCTCCTTCCTGTCACTATAAATCAGACTGCCCTTTATTCTAGAGTTAGATATTAGTGAAATATGTATTCTTTCATGTCTAGTTTATTTTGCTCAGTGTACCTTTGAGATTTATCTCTGTTATGTATATCAGCCATTTGTTCCTTTTTACTGCTGAACCATATCCATTATATGGACATATCCATTCACCTGTTAATAAACATTTTAGTTGTTATTAGTGCCAAAATGTCTCCAAAATGACTGCAGCATTTCACATTTCTACCAGCAATATACAAGAGCCCTTTCTAGTTGTTCCACAACCTCACCAATAGTTAATATTGTCATGCATTAGCCATTGCAGAGGGTGGGTGTTGATATGTTGTGGTTTTAATTAGCAGTTATCAGTTGACTAGTAACGCTATGGAACATGTTTTCATCACCTTATTTACCATTTGTACCTTCTTTAGTGAAATGTCTATTTTGCCCATTTTTAAAATCAGATTTTTTTATTATTGATTTGTAAGAGTTCTTTATACATTTTAATTACAATCTTTATCAGATATACGGTTCACAACTATTTCCTTCCAGTCTGTGCTTGCCTTTTCATCTATCTGATAATATCTTATAAAAAGTTTTTAACTTTTATTAAGACCAATATACCTTTTTTAAAAATTTTATGGCATATTTTTGTATGTCCATTTTACTTAAGTAGGAAACATCAAGCATAGTTTCAAAAGGGGAACTCTGGAACAGGCAGTATTTAATATCTGACATCTGAAAACAGTTAATTACAGTTTAATAAAATTTTAAGATGATATCAAATTGCATGCTGCAAGCACTTCCAGCAGAAATGCAAAATGACAAAGCCACTCCTAGATGTTTACCCAAGTGTGTTGAAAACCTACATTCAACCAAAAATCTGTATACAAAAGGTTATAGTATATTTATTCATAATCACTCCAACCTGAGAACATTCGAGATGTACTTCAACAGGCAAATAGATAAACAGTGGTACAACCACATAATGAAATACTACTCAGTAATAAGGAATGAACATTGATTCAGGCAAACAGTATAGATGAATCTTAAAGCATATTTTGTAAGTGAAAGACAGACCCAAAGCCTTCTTTGTTCAATTTCATTTATATGGCACTCTTGAAAAAGCAGAGCTATGGGGAAGGGAAACAAATCAGTGGTTCCCAGGAAGTCAGGGGAAAGATAGTTGACTATGACAACTAAAAAAGGGGCCACACAAAGGAACTCCTAGGGTGATGGAAATGTTCTATATGCTTTTGTTTTCCATCTTCGTTTTACACTAAAACAAGTCAAGTTGGAGATTTGATACCCCATATTGGTTTGTTTATGGGCCTGGTTTATCAGTCTGTTCTGACCAGCACACCCTGAAAGATATCTGCTAGTTGCTGTGTCCTGCCCATTCATTATGCCCAAGGCAAAAACTGATCTCAGAGCCTCAACCACTTACCTGGCCTTAGGAAACTACCAGTTTGGAAAAGAAAACACTGACTTTCATGACTTCAGAAAGCTTCCTGACCAGAACCAAATCAGTTATTATAGATGTGCACTGATATACATACATATGTGTGCATGTGTACGGAATTAGCCATCTTAAAGACGGGGGAAAAAAGTTGGGCAATTAAAGCAAATGGTCTCTAATTAAGGTTAATGCAAAAAATAGGAGAATGGTTTTAAAATAATAACTCTTTATCTTCAGAGTGAATTAACAAGGAAGGTCCACATATAAGAGCAAGGTAATTAAAAAAATTTTTTAATTTCTTAGAAATTATAGACATGATGGTCAAAAAAAACCCTGAAAATTAAAATTGAAAAAATGTGACCTAGAACACAAAAGCAAGAAACCTAGTATCTATAAAAAAAAATTCAAGAAGAGTGAAACTGACCAAAATTCAAGAAAATGCTGGATCATGTAATACTTTAGAAATTCTAAAGGGAAAAAGTTGACTAAAACTCTTATTCACATAGAAGACAAAAAGTATTTCTGGACATGCTGGTATACTTCCCATCACTCTTCTTAAAAACATTAGTCAAAAAAGTATTCCAGTCAACAAAAAAATTTAAATAAATCATATTTAAAAGGGGAATACAGAATACAAAAGTAACTAGTTACCTTGTAGTTAAATCTAAATCGTTACAGATACAGTACTGGTAAAGTTGAAAGGGATCGTTAGGGAAAAACAGAAGTAACGTAAAAAGGAAATAAAATCAAACCAAGAATGGGGGGGAAGGCAAGGAATCGAGATTTCATCTTATTAAATGGAAGTGAGAGAGTAACAGAAAATCAATTATACATGGTTCTAGAATTTGCAAACTTTCAGGGGAGGAAAAAATAGTATGAATAAGTTAAATTTTTCTGTTAAAAGATAAACCCTTTCCTACAAGGAATCCTTGTGATGCAACAGTTTGTATTTTGGCTAAGGTGGTAGTAACAAAATCTACAGAAAATTGCAGAGAACTAAACAAACACATGTACATATAAAACTCATGAAATCTGAGTATGGTCTGTAGATTATATCAATGTCAATTTCCTAGGTATAATGTTATAGCTATGCGAGATGCTACCATACGAGGAAACTGGATGAACTGCACATAGGGTCTCTCTGTACCATTTCTCATAATTAATTGCATGCAAATTTGTAATTATCTTTTTTTAAAAGAGAGTTTTTTTACAGTGCAAAAAAATAATGACAAACTTTCGGACTGAGAGGAGTGAAGACTGAAAAGAGAATCAAAGTCCAGCTGTATGAAGTTTGATGTATAAGAGAGGTAAAGCAAAATGATGTAAAAAGGCTGAAAATCAACATATGGGCAATAAAGATCTATCTGGTACACAAAATACTGACAGAGATGGTAATAGTAATATCAGACAATGTAGACTTCACGGCAAAAGTCATTAAACAGGGCAAAAAAGATATATTTTGAAAGACTAAAATCCACTAAGAACAAACAACTACATACAGTAATCTATAAGAATGAATTCAAACAAATTAATAGTCGCTGTAAGAGACAAACATATTTTGCTTACTGATTTGTCAGTTTTGAGAAAACAATTAATAAGAATATAGTATGTTATAATGAATGTGCCAAATCAAAACAATAGGGAAAGGATAGCTTATCAAAAATGTTTTAGGACAATGCCCAGATATTTAGAAAAGTAAACACAGATTTTCATTGCAACCATTTTTTAAAAATCTAAATGCAAAATACAAACTATTCAATAAGAGAATATGTACAAAAAATATTTTAATAATCTTGGGGTGGAAATTCAGAGGTCATAAAGGAAGAGAATAGCAGAACTGACAACATACATATTAAAGATTTCCATACAGCAAAAGCTTCCAGAAACAGAATAAACTATAAGAAATACTAGCAAATGATATGCCAAGTCATTAATAGCCACTATATGTAAAGACCTATTATAAATCAATTAGAAAAAGAGTAACACTTCAACAGAAAATTACATAAACATAAACAGGTAACAAAAGAATACAAATGGCTAATAAACACAGATATTCAACTCTGTCAATAAGCAAAGAAATGCACAATTAAAGCAGTAATAAAATAGTATTTTTCATTCATAAAACTATATAAATGTAAAAAAATGATTGTATGATTTAGCAACGGTTTTGAGACAACTCCTCACAGGTCTCTCACATTTCTCCATGTCCTATAAGCAGAGCTTTTTTTCCAAACTATCTTTTCAAGGGTGTTTCTATAGCAAACATCCTTCATAAAAAAGGTCTCCTTTTGGAGGAGAGGGCAGGTTTATTTCCTATCTAGCATAATAATAGCTAATGTCTCTATCTAGGACAAAGGTTAGGCAGGTTTACTTGCAGCCTATTATGAAAGATTCAGGTTCCCTGAGCTGAGGTTTCCTCTCCTGTAATGTAATCTACTGTGCATGCTAGAATCATCTGGCCCTCATCACATCACCCACTGTAAATTAGAGTTCAAGGAAGCAGCACAAGAAAATGATGATCCTCTGGCTACTTTTATAGCTGTGATTTGTCTCTGACGCAGGAGTCTCATGTCTTCTGCCAGCTTCCATTAAGACTGTTAGCTAGCAAGAAACATAAAATCTCAGTCTTGACAATTCTTGGCAATGACATGGAAATAGAAGCATTGTCATAAATTGTATAAATTTGCTCTTTCAACAATCTTCTGAAGAGCAATATGGAACAATCCATCGAAATTTAAAACATAGCTATCCTTTGACCCAGCATTTCATGTTTAAATTTTTACACTAAAGAAATAATGAACGTGCAAATATATATGTACACAAAAATGATCCCTGTAGTTTTGTTTGTAACAGAAATAAATTTGGAATTGGCTAAATGTCAATAGGGGATTGGTTATATAAAAATTATATATAAGGAGATTAAAATTTTTGGTTATTCCTACAATGAAATACCAAAAAGTTTAAAAAGATATTGTTATATGCACTCACATAGACTGTCATCAATTATGACTTACTGGAAGTTATAGTTAGTTATATGTAGTCCACCACCATTTATGAAATGACTGTAGGCTTACACACATTTATTTCTAATGTCTGAAAGGAGAGAAAACAAATGATTAAACAGTGATAATCTCTAGGGAATGGGGTTATTGGGTAAGTGGGCACATACTTTCTCTTTTGGCTATTTCTGTATATATTATTTAACTTATTTTTTAAAAAAAGAATGTATACATTTATTTTATGATCTCATAAAGTTTCTAGGTATCTATTATAGCAACACATGAAAATTCATTATATTTAAGATGCCCAGTTGGGATGACAAAAATACAGACAGACATGGGGCTGTTCCAGGGATCACTCTATAGGCATTTACCCCTTAGAGCTGCTGAAACCAGGTGCATACAGTCCTGAGCTGATGAGGGGAGAAACACCACACTTCAAATACACAGTGAAAATCAAAAGACATACAGATTTTGAATTGAGCTGCTTCTCCATGTATAACTCTGAGGAGCAACTCCACGTGGAGAGCTGTGAGTTAGCCAGGGCAAGGATTTAACAACAGTTAATGATTCAACTGACCATGAGAAAAGCAAGCTAAAAAAATTATCTCAAGAACAGGCAAGAAGCTTCAAAAGGAGGCAGGGTTAAAAAAGGAAATCAACTTACCTGACTAAATGTATTCATTCCAAAAATATTTAGTGATATTAACAATATGCCAAGTATCGTTACAATCTCTACACATTAAAACACATTATAAATCTAGAATAATAAGAGCTGCATGGTATAAGCAAAGGAAGCCAGACAAAAGTTCAGAAGTGCCAAGGATAAATAAGAAATAGGGCCTAGGATAAATATAGTATTTGTTATCAGCTGGGAAAAACTGAATTCAACATATAATGATGGAGTCACTAGTTAACAATTAACAAACGGTAGAGCCTTACTTCCTTTCTTACCCTAAATACTGTGGAGGTAGGTTAAAGATTTAAATAGGAAGAATAAGACGACTGAAAAATATTAGAAGAAAACAGAGGTGGATATACACAATCCATGTTAACAAATGGTCTAAGAAGATACCAGAGTTAGAACCATTAAGTTAAAATGGATTATATAAGGGGATGGGCAATGAGACTAACACAATAAAGAAAGGACAGTTTTTGTTCAATGACCATAGTTCGAAACAAAAGATAGGCCGTTAGCAACATTTTAAGATGCCATTACACAGATGGCTATAATTGCATTAAGGGATCGTGGCATTAGTAAAAAGAAATTAACCTTCTTACATTGAGCTGACCTGATTTTCAAGTCCAGAACAAAAAAGAAGAGCATGAAAATGCACGATTCAGAGAAGCCAATACTTGGCACAACGGTTAAAAATTTTTTAAAGTTGGTGCCCAAGAAAGAGGTGTAGGAAGAAGCGTCCAATTCAACGAATGATTTAAAGAGTGCCTATTATTGGGTGATGCACCTTGCCACTGGAAATGTAAGTGCTGACCCTTTTCCCCGAGAACTTAATCTGTAGGAGCGTTTGATGTATCAGAAAAATCTCCCTCTACTCAACCAACAGGCGCAATACGTAATACTGCCAAAGGAAGCATGAAGTGAGCTTTAAGGGCGGGGGTGGGGGGGAATGTACCTATAATCTGAATTTTAGAAACCAAGGAATGCACACCAGAAAACAGTAAGAAGGCAGCCTGTGTCCTGGAACAAACCAGAACAAGCAAGATCCAGCACCTGTTTGAGTCGTCCAGGGCTTAAAATCTACGCAACTGCCTGACCACAAATGTGTATGGTCTTGACTTTCTAATCATTTGTGTATTTCAATTAGTGAGTGCAACCCGAGACTACGGCAGTAAGTACTTGGGATACCATCAAGGAAATGTGCAAAACCACTCCCCTTGCTAACATGTTGACAGGGACGCAAAGTGGATGTTCATCATTACTCTAAGGACACTACTAAACATAGAAACAAGGCTGCTGCAGGGCATCTCGTGGCAGTCCTGAACGAAGACACGGGCCTGGCCAGGCAAAAATCATCGGACGCCACAGGAATATCAAAGAAGCACACACAGGAGCAACACACACAGACGCGCAGGGGGCCAACGCTGGGCTGCAGGGCCACAGAGGGGCTGCGGAGTCACCAGAACCCGCTGACGCCGCAGTGTAAACACTGTACACCGCTCGCTAGCCGAGGCAACACCTCACGTCCTGCGGGCAGACTAGTGGGCAGAGAAGAAGCGCCCGAGGGCTGAAACTGTTTTCAGGGTCCCCAACAAACCCCGCAAGCGCGGCGTGGGCGGCAGGGGAGGGGAGACGAGCAAGGGACCTCTATAGCGCACCCAGGCTCCCAAAGCGCGGCGCTCCACCAAGGCCCGGCCCGCCCCAGCGCCGAAGGAGGAAGACGGAGACTGGCGTGAGGGAGAAATAAAAAAAGGGCCGTACCCTGGAGGGTCCGGGAGAGCGCGCCGTGAGCTTCACCAGCGACCGGGCGGCGCCGGGAAGCCAGGGCGCAACGGTGGCCCCCGAAATCCCGCACTGCTGCGCAAGCCCGCCGAGCCCGGCCCTGCGCGACCCGGAAGCGTGACGCGGTGGCTGCAAGGTGGGCGGGACCAGAAGGAGGCGGGGCGGGGCGCTGCTCCTGCTAGAGGCCCTCGGAGGCGTAGGGACCGCCCTCTCCCAGGACGAGGGTTCCCCGTCCCGAGCGTACCCTTTAAATTGCCCAGTTACTTCCGGCGGAGAGTGGTTGCAAGCGCTCTGCCGGAATGTTTCTTTTTGGAACCGCCGTGCCGCCTGTAGTGTAGTCCTGCTAGGTAGGGCTTCTTCAGTTCAGAGTTGGTGGATCAGGTGATGCCTAGGGCTTGCGGTTGGTAAGATCTTCAGAAGAAAAGTGAGACAAAGTCCTGTCTTCTAAAGGCATAATTCACCAAGTTTGCAAGCCTTTTCTGCCCCAGATACATATCCTTCCTGCACGCTCACGTCGTTCCCAGCCTTCAGAAGCCCGTGATCATTACCTCCAGTGGAGAAGATACTCTCAGGATCTCCCTTACTCAGTTGTTTTTTTCAGTATATATCTCACCTTTTTTAAAAGTTTACATCATATTTATCTTATTACAAGGTTTCCACTGATAGAAAAACATTTAATAATGATATGTTGAACTACACATACCTGCTATCTGTTTGCTCCTAAAGAGGTAAAATAATGATATTTATATATATGAACTGAGCTCATATATGATGTGCAGTATAGATTGCATACAAAACGGGAAATTATACGGGAATTGAAACCTAATCCTCAACTCCCCCTGAGTGTAGGCAGCACTTAATGACTTACTTCCAAACAATATGAAGGAGTGGGAAGTAGCTTTATTGTGGAGAAACCTGGTAAACTCTACGTTGACCAGATGAAAGTTAATACCATTAGTGATAAACCAAGTTGATAGCTTGTACCCTGATATGGTGTTATGAGAAGGGCCCGTCATCCCTGTGATATTCTTCCTCCAAACCCATAAACGCAGTCAACTTTGAGATAATATCAGAATACCCAGATATCCTACAAAATGCCTGAACAAACTGTCAAGTTAATGGGGAAAAAAAGGAAAAATTGAAAAATTGTCAGACCAGAGGGTGTCTTAGGAGACAGGACCAGAAAAATGTGAATGGTGTTTTGAATGGGATCCTGGAAGGTGAAAAGGACATTAGTGGGAAAAGTAGTGAAATTGAAATAAAAAAGTGGAAATTAGAGAATAGTAAAGTATGTACCAATGTTGGTTTCTTAGTTGTAACAAATGCGCTATTATAATGAAGTGAATGAGTGGTATATAGGAATGCTTTGTACTCTCATTGCAACTTTTCTGTAAATCTCAGTCTATTCTAAAATCAAAAATGTTTTACAAATAATAAATGAATGTATTAATAAGTAAATAAGCCTGATCCTTTTATGGTTGCCAGTGAATCTTAATTGAGTTGATGCCTTCAAGGCACTCAGACCCAATCTAAAGCAGTTTCTCATTTATAACATAATTCCAAATAAACTTTTTATTGAAATATATATTTAGAAAATCTGAGCAGTTTCACATATTCACCACTCAGATAAAAATAAAAACGACAACAGCACCCATTTATGATAAAAAAAAAAAACACTCAGCAAAGTGGGAATAAAGGGGGCATACCTCAACATAATAAAGGCCATATATGAAAAACCTACAGCCAACCTCATACTCAATGGTCAAAAACTAAAAGCTTTCCCACTAAGATCAGGAACAAGACAAGGATGTCTGCTTTCACCACGTCTATTCAACATATTATTGGAAGTCCTAGCCGCAGAGATCAGACAAGAAAAAGAAATAAAGCCATCCAAATTGGAAAGGAGGAAGTAAAACTATCATTGTTTGCAGATGACATGATAGTGTACATAGAAAACCCTATAGTCTCCACTAAAAAACTACTCGACCTAATAAGTGAATTTGGTGAAACAGCAGGATACAAAGTCAATATTCAGAAATCGAAGGCATTTTTGTACACCAAAAATGAAATATCAGAAGCAGAAATCAGGAAAAAAAAAAAAAACCTTTGCTATAGCAACAAGAAAAACAAAGTATCTAGGAATTAACTTAACCAAGGAGGTAAAAGACCTATATTCAGAGAACTATACAACACTGAAGAAAGAAATTAAGAAAGACACAAATAAATGGAAGCATATACCGTGTTCATGGATTGGAAGAATTAGTATCATCAAAATGTCCATACTAACCAAAGCAATTTTTAGATTCAATGCAATCCCTATTAAAATACCAATGACATATTTCACAGATATAGAACAAACATTTCAAAAATTTATATGGAACCATAAATGACCCCAAATAGCCGCAGCAATTCTGAGAAAGAAAAACAAAGCAGGAGGGATCACAATACCTGACATCAAAGTATATCACAAGGCCACTGTAATAAAAACACTCTGGTACTGTCATAAGAACAGACACATAAATCAATGGAGCAGAATAGAGAGCCCAGAAATAAACCCATGTCTTTATGGTCAATTAATATTTAAAAAGGGGGGCAGAAACATAAAATGGAGTAAAAATAGCCTCTTTGACAATTGGTAATGGGAGAGCTGGACAGCTACATACAAAAAATTGAAATTTGACCACCAACTTACACCATACACAAAAATAAACTCAAGATGGATAAAAGACTTAAATATAAGTCATGACACCATAAAAGTCCTAGAGGAGAACAGTGGCAGGAAACTCTCAGATATCCCACGCAACAATATTTTCATCAATATGTCCCCTAAAGCAAGGGAAATAAAGGAAAGAATAAACAAATGGGACTTCATCAAAATAAGAATCTTTTGCACAGCTAAAGAAAACATAAGCAAAATGAGAAAGGAGCCAACCATATGGGAAAATATATTTGCCAATGTTACATCAGACAGGGATTTGATCTCCAAAATATATATGACTCTACTCCAGGAAGATAAACAATCCAATTAAAAAAATGGGCCAAGGGCCTGAACAGACACTTCTCCAAGGAGGACATAAACAACCCAGAGACGTATGAAAGGATGCTCAGCATCACTAGCCATCAGAGAACTGCCAGTTAAAACCACAATGAGATACCACTTCACACCAGTCAGAATGGCCATCATAAATAAATCAACAAACACCGGTTGCTGGTGAGGTTGTAGAAAAAAGAGAACCCTAGTCCACTGTTGGTGGAAATGCAGACTGGTGCTGCCACTGTGGAAAACAGTATGAATTTTCCTCAAAAAGCTAAAAATGTAACTGCCTTTTGACCCAGCAATTCCACTGCTGGGATTATACCCTAAGAATCCCAAAACACCAATTCAAAAGAATCTGTGCACCCCAATGTTCATAGCAGCACAGTTTACAATAGCCAAGAGCTGGAAGCAACCAAAGTGCCCATCAGTAAATGAGTGGATAAAAAAACTATGGGACATTTATATAATGGAATACTATGCAGCAGAAAGAAAGAAAGAGCTACTAACCTTTGTGACAACATGGATGGAACTGGAGAGCATTATGCTAAGCAAAATAAGCCAGGCAATGAAAGACAAATATCATACAATCTCACCTATATGTGGAACCTAATCAGCAAAGCAAGCAGGCAAGGAAAATATAACCAGCAACATTGAAAGAAAGAAGAAACCGACAGGGACAGGAGGGAGGGAGGGAGGGAGGGAGGGGGGTAGCAGGGAGAGGAAGGGGAAGGGTCAGATCAAGGAACAGGTGTGAAGGACACATGGACGAAGCCAAGGTGTGGAAGGATTGCGGGGGCGGGGGGAGGAGGGGAGGGGAAAGTGGTGGCGGGTAAATGGAGACAAATGTATTTGAAAAATTTAAAAAAAGAAATACATTTAAAAGAAAAAAGAAAAAAAAAACTACTAGCACTCAGTAGCTCCTCATATGCTATCCTAAACGTCCACCCTTTACTCCTCCCCAAAGGCAACCTGACATTGTCCTGACTTTTATTACCAGAGATTAATTTTGCTAAGTTTTGCTTTTATACATATAGATGGATTCATACTTTATACACTCCTTTGAGTCTGGCTTCTTTCTCTCAACATTAGGTTTGTGAGAAGTATTTACGTAATTGAGTGTAGTTGTAGCTTCTTGAGTTTTTATTGTATAAATATACCATAATTTCTTTATCTATTCTAGCTCTGATGAGCACTGAGCTGTTTTTAATTTTGATTATTACAAACAATGCTACTGTGAACATTCTTATAACTTTTGGTACATGACCCTCTATACATTTTTCTTTTTATTGATTCTGGATAGAGGGGAAGAGAGGGAGAAGAGAGAGAGAGAAACATTGATGTGCTGCCTCCTGCATGCATCCTGACTGGAGACCAAATCAAAACCCCGGCATGTGCCCTGACTGGGATTTGAACCTGCTACCTTTAAGTTTTCAGGACAATGCCCAACCACCTGAGCCATACTAACCAGGACTACCCTCCATACATATTCATGTCTCTGGTGTTAAATAGATGTAGTAGTTGGTGCTGTTATTTTATTTATTGTTTTTATTTCATTTGCTTAGTTGTGTTTTTAAAGGCACTTAAAGTGCTTCTTGGAAAGTATGCAAGTTTATATTTAAGGAAAGGAAAAGACTATAGCAAAGTTGCATTTTTGTGACTAGATGGAATTTTGGTCATCGTTGCTCAATCTACCCTCCCTCCAATCCTATTGTCTCAAGAGCCATGCCATTGCCATTCTTTGTTTGCTGGGCAGAAGAGCCAAGTGAGGCCAAGGAAAAGGGCAATACTTATCAGTTAGTGATGGTGCTGATTTAATGGGTGAACTAATGCCTAGTTATTAAATGGAATGTTGTTTGCAGCTGAATAGCATCCCACGCCATAACAGCACTATTACAAATAAAGAAAGTCCCAACAAAGCTTAATTGTGCATAAAGCCACCAGCTCAGCAAGCTGGTTATGATCCATTCTGTGCTAGCTTCAAAAGTTACAATGTTCTACTCAGACGGGGAGGCAGGCAAAGAAGGAGCAGGTACAAAACTCTTCTTTGTCTCTAATCTTGAAACACTCATCATCATAACCC